TCGAAATGGAAGTAATCCCAACAATTATGAAACAAGAGATTCCTCGAAACCCAACTTTTCTTCGTATAAGTTTTTAGTCATACCCATATTTATAGAGAGTTAGTTTTCAAGATTTTCAGTAGATCTTTAATAAGTCTTTCCGTCCTTCTAGGTCACCAATAGGTGATGACGGACGGAAAGTTAAATTATCCCAACATAATAAGAGTAGGTCTCACATTTCCATTAAATTTAACATAACCGTGCTTCCTAAAAGATATTGTCATCCAGGGTGGACGGCAGTTTCGAAGTCGTCTAGGTCTCATCAGTCCCCCTACGTGACTCGGACAAGGTTTTTATAGTGCATAATCTATGCCACATCGTCACGAGTGCCTTTGGATCAGAGGAGATGCGATTTTCATGGAAGGATAGGCCTTTCGCGCATCACACTTTTATAATGGGAGTGTCGAGGAAGCAGAGTTGTATTCGCTATTAAAATCGACCACACTACTTATCTGTTTGTTTTTTCATAAGTGGACGCTCGACCGTACCGACAGAACTCCCTATATTTCATTTAAGGTAAATGAGATATGGGAAAGACCTAGGCTTCACGCGGCAGTGTGACGTAGAGGCTAACGTGTGGAGACTACCGCTGGGTGTGCTGATGAGACCTGGACATGGTCGAAACTGCAGTCCACTGCAGCCTGGATGGGGATACATTTTGGTAATTAATGTTATGTGGAATTCCATATAAACATGAGGCCAACTCAAATAATTGTGGGTAATGTCCACTATCAGTCAACCTTTACCTTAAATGAAAAATGTGTGAATAGAGTTATAAACTAAGATCTAGTAGCAGTATAAAAAAGTGAAGTTTGTCTCCTCTTAGGTCCCACTATTGGTATGGCACGAAAAAGGTCTGGTCTCCACTGAAATTCACCTCTAATATGTGACCAACTAACACTCATGTTGAGATGATGCGCTGCATCATAATGGTTCGATTAGTGTTGGGGTTTTTGATGAGGCCCAGTAAAGTCTAGCCTGGATGTGAATACCTTTTGAGGAGCAAGGCTATGATAAATTCAAGAGAAAACTCAACCATCTTATTTAATCTGGGGTGAATGGAACTCTTATCTATTCTATTTACCTGAATTCCCATGTCTGTTAATAAGCAGACCTGCCTCTCGGCAGATGCTGCTTTGTCTGGTTGTGTTTGAAGATGTTCGCTGGTGGATGCTCCGTACAAGTGTCGACTCTGGTTGGTAGTTAAGAGGCCTGCGATCTGGTGTCCCAACGCGGAGGTCGGCAACACGTGAGGTGGTGATATGACGAGTCCCAGACAAGCAGACAACTGGTCCAATATGGCCATTGGAACTGGCAGTTCTGAGCAGCCGAGGTCCTGGTGCATCGGAATTCCAGTTCCTCCGGCGCCACCGCTCGTCTCTGAGGCGACAGTCCTGCGCGTCAGCTGGCTGTAGGTCTTGGCGTTGAGTCCACTGCCTTCGTGGCTGAAGAGGCAGTTGGAGGCGGTGAGGCTTGAGGCAACGGCAGACGCGAAGTCGGCCGTCGGTTCGGCCGCCAGTTGCGGGTGAGGATAGGCGGAATAAAGCCCCAGCCGCCTCGACTGCGCTGGCGAAGTGACCGCCTCCGCAGAGGGCAGAAGCAAACGTGGAAGTGAGGCCAGAAAGGAGGATTCAGCCAGACCCGGTTGCGACCTCGCCTGCGGCGTCATTGGCAGCATAGCAGAGAAATGAGTAGTATCGCCACCTACGTCAGCAGTAGTAGCACTTGTGTGCAAGCCAACTTGACGGACTGACTGGGCGTTTGTAAACTGTGAGCAAGAAGAATGGCCGAGACGTTCGAGTCCTGGTTTAGCTGAAGCTGAATTGACCGGCAGACAAGACAGTCTGGCCGATGCGGCTTCCCCGTCAGGCATGATTCGGGCGGACAACAGACAGGGGGACAGACCGACTGTGTTTGTCGCTGTTGCCATGGTGACAGAGTCGTCAGGCTGACGCTGCCAGGCTATGGTGTCCATGTTGGCCTGGCACAGGGAGGCCAAGATACTGGGCGGTAGCGGGATTGTGGTGAGGGGCCGGGGAAGTGTCAGAGAAAGAGGCATCGGCAGTGGCATCGGCATCGGTAGTGGCAATGACAAGGGCAGTTGCAATGGCAGTGGAAACGGTAGAGGGAGAGTCAGAGGTAAAGGAAGAGAAGTGGTCTGAAGAGGGGAGATGGGCGGAGGAGACAGGGCGAGAGGATGAGACGGCTGGCAGACATGGGCACCAAGATCAGCGATTGGCGCCATCGGTTTGTTGCTGCCTTCGTTTGAGTCGGCCGTGGGACTCAATTTTTCGCGCAGATACTGAGCGTGCCGACGGGCCACGATGAGGTCTCGGATGTGCTTGGGCGGATGAAAAAAAGCGCATTCATTACGCCGACAACGAGGCTAAAAAAGAGGAATGCGGGAAAATTGACGTACAGCAAAGCTGGGTGCTTTGCCTTGGAGAGCCTGGGAGGCGTCAAACTAAGAAAATAATCATTAAACTTAAATTTTCGAAACTATTTGAATAAGAACTGTATTTATCCTAAAAGTGGGTTGACCTCGTTGTCTCAACTTGGTCTTGTTGTCAGGGTGACCTAGTAGAACGCATCTAGTCAGAAGTCGTCTGCCACAGTAGTTGTCATAATTCCCAGCATCAGACAACTACTATGGCAGACGACT